TTGGTTTTGAAACAGTGTCCCATGAAGCCCAGGCTAGCCATAACTCACTATGTAGCCAGGGATGATTTTAGCTTCTGATCCTCCTGCCTCTACCTCCCAGGTGTTAGGATTGCAGACTGGGGATCAGGCCCAGGCCTCATGCATGCTGGGCAAGACTCCTGGTTAGGTCACATCACTAGTCCCTCAGGAGTTCTCTTTGGAGGGTCTGTGTTTCTCTATCCAAGGAAAAAACAGTTGGGCTTTCCTTTGTCTTGCTGCAGAGCTGACCCCAGGCTCATAGGGGTTGGCACTGTTGTGACCCTGAGCTGCTGCAGCCTGCTGAGGGTGAACATTCAGATCCAGAACTGACAGCAGGGGAGCTGCTGTGATGAAGCACTGACCAAAAGCATCTTGGGGAGGGAAGCGCTCATTTATTTGCCCTACAGGTTGCAGTCCATCACCAAGAGGTACCAAGTCAGGGCCTGAAGCAGAGGAAGCCTACTGAGTAGTTTATTCTCTTGGGCTTGCTCGGCTACCTTCTTATATATCCCAGACCCACCTGCCCTGGGATGGCACCACCTACAGTGGGCTAGCCCTTCTCTGTGTACATTTGCCATCAAGACAGTGTTCCACAGACATGCCCATGGGCCAGGCTGAAGGAGGCAGCTTCTCAACTGAGGTTCCCTCTTCTAAAGTTTGTACGTTTTCAAAAACCAACCAGCCAGCATAGGGCATGGAGAAGTGGGTCGGCGGTTAAGAGCACATACCTTCCGGAGAATCTGAATTCAGTTCCCAGCACCCGCATCAGGCAACTCACAACCACTCCGCCCTGGGGGGGGTGGGATCTGATGCCTCCGGCCTCCAAGGGTGCCTGCATTCGCATGCACATATCCACACTAAGACGACATACTTTAATAAAAACAAATCTTAATAAAAAGCAACCCAGCACTCACCTTCCTGCCCACAGACTGTACTGGCACAGGTGGAGGACCACTGAGAGCCCCACGGCCATCTTCTCTCTGGTTATCTCTTCTCTGTGTCTACCTCGTGTGTGTCCTTCTGGCCCCACTAGTATCAGCCATTCTGCAGACTCCAGGCCAGGAGCTGCCACTCCAGAGATCTGAGCGCATAGACGCTTATTATCCCGCCATCTCTGCTCTTAGGCAGGAGTGCGCATCCCCACTAGCTTTGATCTGGTGGAGCACAGGCTATTTCTGTCTCGTGTCCTTCCCTCAGTGCTTTCACAGCTGCCTCCTGTGAGTCCAAACGGGCACGCATGGGGCTGAGATAGTGAGGGTTGTCAGCTCAGAGCCGTCCTGTGGCCTCCCCAGAGGAGTGGAGCCAGCCAGCGGGCCCGCCTGAGCTTACAGGCCAGCTGTGGAGCAGCGAGTGTTTGGGCACAAGGCCTGATGTGCCTGCCCCAGGACCACTCTGGAAACCATCAAGTCTGGCTTGGGTTCTGACGAACAATCACATCCCTTCTCTGACTCCTACTTGTCACCTGTCACATTCCTGTGCTTATAGGACAGCCAGGACTGTCCTTGTGGAGGGGCCATAGGAAGGGAGGGCATGGACAGCCTCTCCTGGGGACACAAGGTGAGCGGCACAAAGCTGGAGAAAGACAGCAACCACAGCTTCCTCCTGGCAGCAGGCAGGACTTGAGAGTTGGGAAGGCCTGTGACAAGATGGGAAAGCACCCAGAGCTCTTGAAGAGCCTCAGTTGCTACAGAGTGAGAATGTGGCCTAGGGTCTGGCCCTGCAGAACTAGAGGCCCCAGAACAAGGCTGCCCCTCACTGTGTCTTGATCTCAGAGAGACCTCTGGGCCCAGAGATCCCTGAATTTCACCCCACCTACCTCTCTGCCCCCACCCTGTGTTGTTTCCTGCACACTTGTGAGTGGCTGAAGACATTTCCCCAAGGCCAGAGTATGTCACTGCAGACCCCAAGGCCCTTTGCCTCTAAGGAGAAGCCCCAAAGCAACCTCTGCTCTTGGTCACTTTTGAAAGAGGCTGACTGACAGCCATGGCAGCAGAGTAATGACACTTTCAAGGTGGAGCCCATCTTTTATTGATTTAATCCAAACGTCGAAGTGAATTATTCATTCTTGTTTATGTAAGTCACCAAGCCACAGAAATAACAAGGAAGTTGAAGCACCCCAAATCAAGTGACTGTTTCCAGGCTTTGGGCATCACCCTCAGCTTGTCTCGGCTGTCTCCCCTCACCCTCCACTGGCCTCACCCTCTCCCTGAAAGAGGCTTCTACTCCCAACCCAGCGGTAATAAACGCTCCTCCTTTGCGGCCACAAACATACCTGTGGGTGCCTGGCATGTGGCCAGACACCTCTTCTCCATTCATCCCCAAGACGCATACTGACCCTCCCCATGGGCCTTCCATGGGCCTGGGTTCCCCCACCTGCCTCTGAGATCTGAACTGTGCAGAAGAGCCCGTTTCCTTCCCCAAGGTCAGCCTGTGTTTGGGCCTAAGATCTAATCTTCCCCTTTAGGCGTCTGGGGTCTCTCAACAGTTATCACAGTCTCTGATGGCTGGAACATCCCTGGGAAGTGTGGCTGGTGAATTTCTTCTCCTCCTGAAGGCTCTGGCTCCAGGAGGAGGAGGGGCAAGGGATGCCAGGAAGAGCCTTGGGGTCAGGGCTGCCAATTAACCTTTCATTTTCATAGTCTGATCACTCGATTAATCAAGGCTCGGGGTCTGTGTCCTGTTGAAGGGGCCCTCACTGTGAAGAACAGTGTCTGCCAAGGCCTCTGTGCTAGGTGATGGATGAAGGAGCCACAGGGCAGGGCCAGCAGCCAGGCGACAGCCCCACAGGTGAGCTTCTGCCTACCGGCTGGGTCTGTCAGGCCATTTCTCCTCACAGCCCCTGGTGCCAGCATGCTTTTCTCAGAGTGTGCTTCCCGCACCGGACTGTGGATGGGCCATTGCATTCTAGAGTATGAGGGACAGGAAGGATAGTGGCAGCCCTGCTGGCGCCCGTCAGCTGCATGGCCCAGGGGCATGTTCATCCGGAGGTGTGTGACATTTCCTGTGGTACATAAAAAAATCTGTCCATCCTAGATAGGACACCACCAGCAGAACAATCCACCCAAGTCTAGGTTAATGAGCAGTGAGTGTATTGGGGTTACAAATGGGAGCACGAGCAGTTCCCGTGTGAAGTGCAGTGACTCGGGGGAGCTGCAGCCCCGAAAAGCCCACCGCAGCATTGGGAACAGCTCACGGAGCTGTGTTCCCAGAGCTCCCAGGGCAGCTTGCAGGAGGTCTCTCTCCCTAGCAGTAGTTACTAGAACCCTGGGAGATGGGGGCAGAGACTTTCTGAGCTTCCTAAGCCTTGATTACTTCCTGAGCCCTGCTTACTGAGTACTCACTGAGTCTTAAGGGGCCTCCCTCCCAAAGGGACTCTTCAGTTCACAGGAAATGAAAACATGCCACCATATCACAGTGGTGATGTGACTTCTGAGTTTATGCGTTTGACTTAGGCTGGCCTCCAAGGATCATTCTGGCTAAATCCTCAAAACTGTGACTGGGTACAGCCACATCTCCTGGGAGATGGCGGGGAGACAGAAGTGGCAGAGCCGAATGGGGACTCAGCCTCCCTGGTCTCCATTTTCCCTGGGGTTGCTCAGAGCTTCTGGTTCCCACATGTCTCTCGTGGGACTCAGGCTCCCCACCCCCACTGATCTCTAGAATGCCCTCCCATCTCTGTGAACTAACCACCCTCTGGGTCTGTGGTGTGCAGGGCACAGGTTCATTCTCCCTCCTGCCTCAGGCCTGAACTAAGATGCCCCACCTCAAGATCTTCCCCATTCTGCTCTTTCACTGTGGGCCCATGAGGGGCCTGCTCTGGACCTGGGCCCTAGAGTGAGTCTCTTGGACCCTGAGTTCCTCTTGACTTAGGGTTCCCTTTCCCCATACACTGCTCAGGATTACCCGCCTCAGAAATGCCCAGTTTTCCCTGTGTCCCCTGAGCACATATCATAGCCGATGTTAACTAGCCCCAGCCGTTCATCACAGCAAAGGGAGCCCATAGCACACCCACCCCCTGAGCCTGACCGCCCAGGCCTGTGGGGTTCCCCTTGTGAGCTCCATGCAGGACTTCCAGGAAGCGCCCAGCTCCAGACAATCCCTGTGTGTGTGAGTGGAGCCAGGCTCGGTAATTAACTGGGGCATAAATCAGGGCTTAATTACTCAGCAGGCACCTTGGGTGAGAGATTCATGGTAATTGTGTGTGCTCCTGGTGACTTTGCGCAGCTGGCTTCTCCCTGAGCACCAGTAAACCGTGGCGAGCAATGGGGAGGTGGGGCTCTACCCTGAGCGATACTCCCAGAGACACTTGGGAGGTTGAGGAGGAGGTTCTAGGCAGGGTTTTATGGAACCCAACCAGACCTTGCTGAGGGACAGGGAGGGTCCATTTGGCCTCAGATGGCCAGCATGTGGACTTGTGTCTATCTTCCTCTGAGTGCTGTGCTAGCTCAGGGCAAGTGACCGACTCCGGGGCAGGAGCTCAGGCTGCAGGTGGCTGTCCATTTGCCCAGAGTGGTTGGGAACTCTGATCCTCACTGCAGACATGATCCTCTGGTGCGTCCTTCTCCAGCAGGCTCTGGAACCTGCTAGCCTTCTGGGACCAGTCACCACCAAAGCATGACCAGTTGTTCCACAGAGCTTCCTAACAGTGACCAGGGTAATGTCCTGCTGGGCGTTGTCACTCTGCCAGCAGCGTATCTGGTCACAGCATCTGTCTTTCAGAGTACTGTGCTTTGGGTTATTATTTTTTTTTTAAAGTACTGTTGTTGAAATAGTGACTTTATTATGACTACCACCAGAAGGTCACACTGCTTCTCTGGATCCTTGTCCTTTTTCTCCTGATTTCTCAGAGCCCATAGATGGGCACCAGCCTCAGGCAGCAGGGGCTCAAATTGGGCCATGGTTTATCTTTGCCCCTTCCCCTGGCTATCCTTCCTGTCACACCAGTGCCCAGTGACACTCACACCATGCCCCTGTCCCCACAGAGCTGCGGAAGCAAGTAGAAAGTGCCGAGCTGAAGAACCAGCGGCTCAAGGAGGTTTTCCAGACCAAGATCCAGGAGTTCCGCAAGGTTTGCTACACGCTGACTGGCTACCAGATCGACGTGACCACTGAGAGCCAGTACCGCCTCACCTCCCAGTATGCTGAGCACCAGTCCGACTGCCTCATCTTCAAGGTAGGGTGACTACCTATGCGTCGCCATGCCAGTTCATGCAGCGCCATGTCCTCAAGGCATAGTCTTCCGTGGCAGGAGAGGACATGCTGGGCCCTTTTTCCCCACTCTTGATGGGCACTGACCTGGGGTCACGTCTACTTGACTTTCTTTAATTCGTACTCTGTGAGTCTCTACCAAGCTCCGCCCTACTGCTTGGGGCACTTCAGCCTTGTCCAGAGGCAGTAGGTACCCAGAGGATGGTGAGGGGCATGGCAGGCACCTTGCTGCCAGACTTCTGCCAGAGGTTAGTATGTGGCACAGCACATGTGTGTGCCAGCTACTGGTGGTCAGACCAAAGGTACCAGAGTTGATCCCATAGGTTGCTGGGTAAGCCCTGTAAGGCGGGAAAGGGGCAGTGGTCTTCAGGAAGCATGTACCTGTTGGAGTCTGGTGTACCAAGTGAGCACCCAAGGAGGAATCCCTATTCACTGAAACAGAAACAACATACCCCAGAGAGAGGGTGCTTGGGACATGGACTGCCCAGACCGTGGGCACAAGTTCTCAGAGCAAGCAGGTCCAGCAGAAGTGAAGTTGGTCGATGCAGAGAGTGGTACGGTGTAGCTGGCAATCCGGGGTTGCAAGGGCTTGCTCATCACTGGCAAGCAACCTTACATCCTGTTCCTGGGATGGTGTTATGGTACCAGCATGGCATGTGGCCCTGGTGTGGCCTGTGATAAAAGTATTGTGTGTGACTGGTCAGTAGCTGTGGCCAGCTCCATTCTGTATCACATGTGGCTGGGCCTCCTACAGTCTGGAGCCAGACTGTGCCCTGCAGAAACAGAAACCAGCTTCCATTTCCATCTAAAAATCTGTGCCCAATGTGACCTACGTATTGTAAGCAGACTTGCTCAGAAACATAGTTCCTTTTCGCCGTTTCTCCTCGTTCTCACCCACCTGTCTGTCTGGCCCCTTTGAGGGGACGCTGCCCATTGTGGTGGTCAGAGGCACACCCGACGCAGCACCCACTTCGTGGTGTGTCTCAGAGACTTTCTGAATTTCCCAGATTACATCCATCCATTTTTTTACACTTCTTAGCACTCTTAAACCTTTGACTAAGTAAATAAATATTTGAACGCCCAAAGTCTCTAAGTCAGTAAGCTATCAGAAATGTATTTCTTCGCTTTTGTGTACCTTTGAATAGCTGAGGATCACTGATGGGTATTTAATTTAATACAGTGTAGGGATTCCATGTTGTTTTTTTTTAAAAAAAAAAAAAAGATTGGTAAATGAAGATGCTCTGAGCAGCTGTCATGATGAACACATCACTTCCATCGGTGTTTGTAGACAAGCTCTAATTTGCATTCCAAAGTGTTCTAGGCTTTTTGTTTTGTTCTATTCTTTGGTGGTATGGGAATGGAACCTAGGACCTCCTGCATATTAGGTATGCAGACACTCTGCCACCGAGCCACGCTCCCAGCCTCTCTGGAGGCTTAGGCAGGCATCCTGACACTGAACTACCTCTCCAAGTTCCCTTTTTGCTTCCTATTTAAAGACAGCGACTTACTGGAGTTGCGCATGTTAGCCTTGAACTCGGTCTGCAGCTCGGGTTGGCCTTAGACTTGCAATCCTCCTGCCTCAGCATGCATTCCAAGGTCCTACTGTATTCTGTTTTTAGAGGTTGTCAAAAGTGTGGTGTGTATAACCAGTTCTTAGCCAGGCCAATCAAGGCTGTACAGTGAGAACCTATCTCCAAGCAGCGTTAAGTCACTTTTGCTCCTTCCCAAAAGGCAGACACAGTCATCACGGTGCTGCTTTGTCCCCATCATCCTGTCCCATCCAGATAATTCCAGTCTACTCAGGTCTAGGTGTCCTGCCCATCTTCTTTCTATCATAAGCCCACTTGTGGTGGCCTCCTACCCGTGAATGGGACTTGCCATACCTCTGGTCCTGCTGCTAGCCTTGACTTTTGTGTGTGGCTTCCGTAGTACACAAAAGAATGAGGGTGAGTGTGGCCACTGCTGTCCCTGGTGCACATTGTCTTCACACTCTCACGGTTCCTCACCTGTCTTCCCACCTCTGGCTCATTTACCTTGCCCACCAGCTGGCCTTGGAGTTGCCTGGCCAGCCAGACACACACACACACACACACACACACACACAATCACCATTCATTCTCCAGACATCAGTACCCAAGGAGTACTCAGTGACACCAACACAGCCAGACTGGCAACTGTACTCAACTTGAGGCTCAGAAGCAGGCCAGCCCTCCTCCACTCCAGGCAACTCCTTCACTGTGGCAGAAGAGAGAAGGGGGCCCCATGTGCTCTGCTGATGGACACCACCCCCAGCCAGTGTGGCTTGAGCCTGTAGAGAAGCCTCTCCTGGGTTCTTGGCTACACCCAGGGTTCAAAACCACCTCAACATCAAGGTGGCCAGTCTAGCCACAGTAGGGCCCCTGAACACCTGACATTTGACAGATCATAGAACATATGCACATTCCGAGACACAGTGGCTTGGTGGAAGCTATGCTATGTAGTGGCTAGATATATGTTGGTGTGTTGCTGTGGTTACCTGTCAGGTGACCGTCACGTGGTGGCCAAACAGGTAAAGAACTTGTTATGTGGTGAAGGAGCTATTTCTTGTGACCTTAGCAGAGAGCTGGGTGGTAGCTTATAATGGAGAGAGAACATAGTTACATCGTGTCTCTCTGGCAGCCCTTCCTTGTACCATTTTTCTTTGTAAGAATGCACATACGTGTACAAGTTCATGAGCTTGTGTGCATACCTGTGTGTGTAGCGTGGAGACAGAGAAAGTCTCCACCGCTCTCTGTAAGAACCACCCATCTTTTAGAAAGTCGCTCACTGGCCTGGAACTTGCTAAGCAGCCTAGACTCGCGAACCAGCAGGCCCAGGGCTCCCTCCTCCTTTTTCCTCCTCCCGGCCTAGGGTAACAAGGGTGCCACCATGTCCAGCTTTTCCTCATGGTTCTAGGGCTTGGATTGGGGTCCTGGTGCTCATAAGGCAAGTTCTTTACCGACGGGACTGTCTCCCCAGCAGGGTCTAAAGCAGCCGCTGGAGTCCCCCGTGTACCCCGCTCAGTTTCTTGTGGCCCACTCCTCTGTGCCAAGGACAATGAGTCTTCTGGGCAGCTCAGTCAGAGACTAGGAAATGCTTCTTGCAGGCTATTGGGCTTTGGCTCTAGCTTTCTCCTTAGCCACCTCGGCATGTTACAGCAAGCATGGCCTGAGCCTGCCCCTCTGCCTCCCCACCCCCTCCTCCATACCTGGCCCTGTTCAGCCTGGAGATCTCTGTCTTTGTGGCCTGACTATCTGTCCAGCTGTGGAGGTGAGGGCAGGAACCCCATGCTGGACACACCCTGGTTCTCAGAGCACTGCAGTGTGCCCTGGTACTGGCCAGCTGCCTGTCTCCGCATCTGCTTTCTCATCTGTCAAGTGAAGATAATCACAGGTTCTGCTGGCCCTGTTGGACCCTGTGAAGGTATGGGACATCCAGGGGTCCCTGTTAGGTGACCTGCCCTCCTGTGTGCAGCCTGTGATGACACCAGAGTCTTTGCTGCTACTGTCCCTGGCAGGGCCTTAAAGCAGTTGCCCAGCATTGTCCACAATGGGCAAGCCAGGCAGGCAGATCTTAAAGAGGAGGAGGCAAGATCCCAGACCCAGACTGTCCTGCCCCACCCACCCATCTCCCCTAGCAGGGAACATGGGGGCAGGGCGTGGGCAACAGCTGCCTTAAAGCATCTCTGAGTCACTGGTTCACCTGTGTCTGCAGCTTCCATATTCTCCATGGTACAAGGGCTCTTCCGAGGCTGGGGGCTCCTTTGGGCCATGGGCCCACACAGCCTTGAGAAATTCCCCTGTTCAGTGCAGTACCAGAAAGACTGCGCTGGTCCTGTGGAGCTCTCCAGCAGAAATCTCACCAAGACTCTAGAGCTGGGTTGGCCCGTCCCATGCAATCTTTGGCCATTATATACCCTCTGCAACACTATCAGTTGAAGCAGCTGCATAACCCTTATCTGCCAGCCAGTGCCTGGCTAGCAGAGAGGGTGCTCACAAGATCTATTGGGGGTGGGTGAGAGAAGAGGAAAAATGGATAGGGACCAGGCAAAAGGCAGGCTGACCCCTGTACCCAGGGCATGACCAAATCAGGCTCAGGCAAGCTCATGGTAACTTCCGCTCTTTTTTTTTTTTCCTCTAAACAACTTCCAGGCAGGAGGGGTCTGAAGCAGAGTTAGAAATAGCTGGGGCCTGCTTCCAACCAAGCAGGTTCTGCAAATGTGTGCTGGGATAATTGAGAGTTGGCTCACAGTCCCACATGGCTCCACTTCCCTTCTCAGGCTGGACCCAGCCTCTGCTGTGTGTGGGTGGCCGAGTTGCCTCCCAAGGCTGCTGTGGGAGGGGGAGGGGAGCAAGAGCTTAGTTCCAGCACACAGTGGGAGCCTGGCATCTTGCCCACTCCTCCTCTTCCGAGAGGAGTTAGACCCCAGAGTCTCCAGTTTCCTGAACCTGGAGGCAGCGGCCTACCAAATGTCCCCAGCTGTCCTGGCGTGATCTCTTTCCCTGTGCTGTACCAGGACCCTCTACCCAGAAGGAAAACTCCTGTCACAGAAGTGAGACGGTAAAATGAGAAGCTGAACAGCGGCGGATAGACTTGTCTGCAAACCCCACGAGACGCGGGTGGCCCTGACCTTGGATCCCCGTCCCCCATGCCTGTGATCTCTCCACAGCCCACTATAACCCAGGGCCAGCCAGAGGCAGACCTGGATTCTGGGATCATAGTGTCTTAGCCATCTAGCACAAGTTCCTGATCTGGAGACAGGACTGTACACCTAAAGGGCTTATTGGTGGGTGATTGAGAGTGCATGCCTGTATAAAGTGTAGTCCATGCCTTCATCCACATGGCCCAGCTTTTTACACAGGTGCTGGGGACTGAACTAAGGTCCTCATGCCTACATGGCAAGCGATTTTACTCCAGCCTCTTCTCATTTGTTTTGCTTTGGTTTTT